CATTTTATTGGGAGCTAATATAGATATATCATGCCATAGTTCAATCACATCAAGCAGTATTGTACAATTTCTACCACAATCAGTTTCAAAAATATTTTCTTACTTCTTGAACTCCTTTGTATCAGCTTCCCTTTATGCCCCTCTCCATCCACCACTGTGCCCCCTCCCCCAGGAACCCTTATTCTACTTGCTATTTGTATCAGCTTCCCTTTATGCCCCCCCTCCATCCACCACTGTGCCCCCCTCCCCCAGGAACCCTTATTCTACTTGCTGTCTCTGTAGATTCTTCAACCCTGGGTTTTATCTACTGAAAAATAGAAAACAAAACAAAAATTCAAGAGGGCTATCCCCAAGGACAAAATACATCTGATATAAACCCCAATATGAAAGAAATAAATACAGCATGTTGAAAACTGGATCAGGCTCAATGTATATCAGAGGGGGGATCAAGTAACAAGGTGTTAATCGTTCAAGTCAGGTTTATCATTCTGATCTCCTGTAGTCATCTCTCCAGTACTTTCTCTTTGGTGACCAGTTTATTCCCATCCCTCCATTATGGATAGAGGGAGATCACTGAAGGCTTACTTCCTGTTTAGTTCTCACAAATATATCTCACAAATATATCTCACAAATATATCTTGGGCTTCCACTGTCATCCATAGCCTTCTGCAAACCAGAATCTCACAAGTCAGGCTCTGATACTATTCCCTCCTTCAGCTCTGACTATATAATTTACAATCCTTGGGTCATGCATGTTGGTGTGCTTCTTCCATGTGGACTTAGTTGGCATCTCAAAGATGGATGCTTGTTTGGAAATAGACCTTTAAGACCTCAGATTCTATTCTATCTGATAGCTGAGCACCATCTAGTTTCTTCACCACAATTTGATATAGCACCCATATCTTCTGTGTCCCCTTCATGAGGATGAGTATTGAGCAAGGCCATGATGTAAGAACCAGTTCTTCTTAAATTGAAGCTAGGATTTAGGGGGACCCCAAATTCCATCCTTGGATCTATGTTTATTATCTGCCTTTGGCTGCCCTTAGAGACCACGTTGTTAATTTATGTTAGAGAGTCTTATCAATCATCTCCCTGAAGCATAAAGATCTTCTGTTAATATTGTCATTGATTAACACCTGGCACTAATTTTTAAAACACTGTTGAGAGTGCAATATTGGACCAGTATAGGTGAACTACATATTGAAATAACTGAATTACTCACTTGTACAGAATAAATCCTTAGGTGGCTGGACACTAGTTACACACACAATAGGAGTTGGTTGTCAGACAAATATATATTAATAGAAGTAGGGCATTGATGTATTTAGTCAATGTTGCCTGCCTAGCAACAGTTCAATGCTCGGTATAGGCTGTCTTCTGCTTCTTCAAACACCACGAATTTTCAGTCTTAAATCCTCAGGTTATGGGTGTGCTTGAGGCAGAGTCCAGGTCACCTAGTGGAGTTTCCACATCTGATCCCCCTGGTGTAGTCTTTGGAGTGTATTGTGGGCTTTGAAGATCCCAGAGTCAATGCCCAGTGTTCTATGGCACTTGGTCTGGATCCTCAGGGTGTGTCCAGAAACTCAGGCCACTGTGGCTTATTACAGGAATACTCCCCACTTAGGGTCTCCAAAGGTGTTCTTAGTCATTTTTCCTACCCCTTCCCCACTTGGAGGTTGATCCTCCCCCTTTTTCTACCAACAGACACTCACTGATCTTCTCTTAGACGTGTTTGCTCTCTTCCCCCTCTCCTGACTTGGCTTCGCCCTCAATAACCCTCTTCCTTCTTGTCATAACATTGCATGGCAACTACCAAGGGGTAAGAATCCCCTCCCTTTTCCTTAACAACTTGGTCCCAACTGACGTGAAGGACCCGATAGCAAAGTGTCCTTCAAGATATACATCTAGAGAAGATAATACGTGGTTCATTGGCACCTACCAGGATGTCTGGTTGCCCTGGTCAGCAAACTGAATGCCCTGAAAGCCTGAGCTTGTGCCTATCCAGTTGCTTGTCCCTACAGCAGTGGACTCATTAGTATTTGTCCTTTTATGAGTGACTAACTTAGCCTAGCACAATGCTTTCCAGATCCCTCCATGTCATAGGTGTTTTATGTTTCTATTTTTTAAGGTCCTGTTTATGTTTTATATGATTTTCTGCATATGAAATCCAGGATAGGTAAATCTATAGAGACGGACACTGGATTGACAGGTGCCTAGGAACATGGCAAAGAAGGATGAAGGGAAAAGGGCGCTAACAATGAATAAGGGAAGATAATGTTCTGAAATTGACTGTGGTGATGACTGCACAAATCTTTTCTTTTTTTTAATTGGGGTCTTACAGCTCTCATAACATTCCATACATCAATTGTATCAAGCATGTTTGTACATAGGTGGTATCAGCATTTCCAACACGTTTTCTACTTGAATCCTTGGTATAAACTCCTCTTTTTTTCCCCTCCCTCCCCCACCATCCCACCCTTTTGAATCCTTGATCAATTATATATTGCTATTATTTCATATCTTACATTGTCTATTGTCTCCCTTCACCCACATTTCTGTTATTTGTTTGCTTCGGGGGTGGGGGACTATATATCCAACCTTGTAATGGATTCCCCGTTCTCACCCTTCCCCCTTCCCGGCCATTCCTCTACCCTCATGATACCGCTACTCCCACTACTGTTTATCTGTCCTGAATTCCATGTGTCAAGAGCTCTTATCTGTAACAATGTGTGTTCTCTGGTGTAGCCAGATTTGCAAGGTAGAGCTGGATCATGGTGGGGAGGGGGAGCATTCAGGAAACAGAGGAATGATGTGTGAATCATCAGTGCTATACTACGCCTTGGTTGAATCATCCCTTCCTTATAACTCTTCTGTCAGAGGATATCCAATTGTCTACAGATGGACTTTAGTTCTCCACCCCAACCCCACTCATTTGCATTGATATAGCTGTTTGTTTTGGATCTTTTGATACTTAATACCCGATCTGTAGACACCTCATGATCACACAGGCTGGTGTGTTTCTTCCATGTGGGCTTATTTACTTCCCTGATAGATGGCTGCTGGTTTAACTCCAAGCCTTTAGGACCCCATGTGGTAGTTACATAATCTAGTATCAACTTGAGACTATTAAGAGTGAAGGGGTGGAATTTAGCGAGTCAACTAGGTTGCAGCTCATTTGGAGGTGTTACAGAGATAAATACTCACTAGAGGCCAGACCCACACCCTCTCCCTGTGAGACATTCCTGTTGACAAGCCACATGAAGCTATGCTGATGGCAGCCAAAGCCTTGGAGCTGGAAGACCCGCATGCAGATCCACACCAGTGCTAAGATGCCTCCGCTGCCACTGGATCCACAAGACTTTCCACCCACTGGCCTGTGATCTTCCTATACTCAGCGTGATTGCATGTGTTTCGCAAGGCTGAAAAGGAATTTATAGACTGGTATCGGATGGACATATGGGCTAATATTGGACTTATGGACTTGATCTGGACTGGGCTGGGATGTTTTCTTAATATACAATTATCCTTTGATATAAAGCTCTATCTTATAAACATATGAGTATCTCTGGATTTGTTTCTCTAGTCAACCCAGACTAGCACACTATTTCTTGATAGCTGGGCACCATCCAATCTCTTCACCACATTTGTTTATGCACCCATTTTGTCTTCAGTGATTCTGTGAGGAAGGTAAGTATCAAAGAGTGCCAGGTTGTCAGAACAAAGTGTTCTTGTGTTTGGGGAGACCTTGAAAAGAGGCCCAATGTTTGTCTACTACCTTAATACTTAACATATAAATATATGTACATTGGCCTCTATCCCTTTCATTATAAATTAATATATTTACATGTGTAAATATATGTAGCCTAACCTCCATAAATAGCTTTGCCTCCTATTCTTTCCTCTATTTCCTTTCACCTTCCTCCTATCCCACTATCTTGCTCACCCTCCATTCAGCTATCAGTAATTACTCTTAGATACACTGCACTTGATTAAAGCCCACCAGATATTATATGCCCTCCTTGCCATTATTATAGATCTCTTGCTGTTCCCTTACTTCTGAGTTTATTGGCTCCCCCTTCCTATCCCCTCCTCTCCCATATGCTTATAAATCAGGTGTCAGTGACATTAAAAAATGAATTTAAAATTTTACCATGCAAAATACTCATATATTTCTGTTTTGCAACACTGAGTATGTTTCTAAATTCATCTCTCAAGGAAGCAACAAAGCTGTTTATCAGGACATTGTATTTACATTTTATTAGCATATTTACATATATCTACATAAAGATATTAAACAATTATTTGAGGAAATAAATTAAATTAATATTTAGGCATTCAAAATGCATTTTGTTTTCTATTGCCATCCAGACCGATTTTCTTTGAGCAAGTTGATTGATCTTGTTATGACTCACAAAGGAAACATGCTTGTGAAGGAGGAGGCTATTGCAACATCAAGTATGGCACATCTAGGGATAGATATGGCAGCCAACTAAAAAGGTGGTGGAAATAAAGGAAAAAAAAACATGGATAGCAGAAGAACAGGGCATAACCCACTCAAGGGCAGGGTATTGTTTATATCTCCACGGGAGAGGGAGAGAGGGACCAGACTTCAACCTAGTGTGCCAAGATGTGAATGGAACATACCAGCATGAAGCAGCAAACCTATAGAGAGGTCTGTGGGGCCTTCCTCAATTCCAGCTATGTGGACACCCCCTCCCCCAGAAGAATGCACTACAGAGGACAGCACTGAAGCTACTGCTCAGGAAGAGGGGTACACCTAATCAGGGCACAGGAGCAAACAAAGAGGGAAGGTGAGAGAGTGGAGCACATTCTGGCCCACCAAGGCCAGAGGATGAAATTCCTTCTCAGAGCAGCCAATGCACAGAGAGGACCATAGGGCCGGCCCCACCACGAAATACAATGTCCCTCACTGACCAATAGCACTACAGAGGACAACACTGGAGACACAGGGTGGAAATTGTGCCCAATGCAACCCCATTTCACCAGGATGAAACACTAAGGGCCTGCAACAGTGCAGCAAGGGGAGCAAAGCAA